TGTAAGATGAGTGCCCTCGTTAACTCAACTGAAGGGGACTTGGCCTGACATGGGTTGCACAGTCACCAACACACAAGTACTGTACCCTAACAACGAACTGCTTATACAGTACGTAATTAACGACTATGGATAAAACCACGCCACAAAAAGACTATTAACGCGACTGTACGAGCTAGTGGTTCTTATTGAGCGTTTCATCAGTGGCTATTAGAGAGACATATAAGGCACGCCAAGAGATCAGGAGATCCAGCACTACTTAAAATAACGAACAACTCCAGAAGAGGGAGTACTGTACAGGTGTAGGAGCGGCAGACGTACAAAACAAGCAGGATCTCCCCAGAAAGTACTCGGCCATTATACAGTAGAACATTTTGGATAATCTGAACCATTAAAAGACGGATTATTGCACTGACTCCCCACATCCTGCGCGGCCACCCACCACCCTCTCCCCCTCACCCACAACCCACTCCTTCCCCCACCACCCACTCCCACAACCCACTCTCCCTCAAGCACTCCCACGACCCACTCTTTCCCCAAACATTATACGGTACTTGTTAAAAGTCGTCATATTATTTCGGGGCACATTTTACCGTTTATCCACCTCCACACCCATAAATACACCCACTCCTGTATCTCTTACTGATTAATTTATCCCGATTTAAAATATAATACGTATATCATTACGTTCCAGTATGAAGCTTTAATTCAACTGTTCATGTAACACAGCCACAACCATTAAAGGGTATTTAAAAAACGTCCAGTTCCAAACTAAGATTTATATTCTAAAAGTGCAATTTACAATAAGGACGAACCAATACTAGCAGAAACCTCAATGTGTGTATCCAGTGCGAGCGTCAACCCGTATAAATGCATTCAACCAATCTTTTGTCGAGCCTTTAGGGGCGAGCCACCTGAACAACACGAGACACAGTGGTAAAGGTTAAAGCTGTACCAGACACACGTCTCACTCTAGTAAAGTGTAAACAAAGCAGCGACCATGGAGAAGTCCTCTTTAAATACCCTGCCTCTGAATAATGTATATGATTTAATGGTTCCAGTACAATTAAAAACTCAACGGCACTTCACAAAAAGGAGCAAAACTGAACAACTTTCACTCTAAAGCAGTTCAGTAATGCCCACTGAACAAACATAGCTGCGGAAGAAGTCTGAACCATATAGTGTGGTCAGGCTGAAAGTGCCAGACAGGAGCATCTCCCTCCCCTGCAGTGATTGTTGCTCCACTGTTACACCTCCATTACAATACTACTCAACAAACCTCCTCCACACGCCTCGCCACGCTCAACTACACACCCATAACGAACTGTAAGTGCAAAACAAAACGTGAATATTCCCATTATTGATCTCCGGGGAGTGCTGACAATCGTGGCCATAGAAACATGATCCGGAGTGTATTGATTCCCCCTTTGACGCCGGCCCGTCGCCAGATGACTCGCCTCTGCTCGGGGATTTAACTCCACCCCCGCCCCTAGGTCCTCCCTACACCCCCGTCATCCAGTGTTGGTGGCCTTTAAACAACTCAGGGCATTGCTCTTTATGTAAATAATATAATTCAAGGTTTGCGACTGAACCACCCTTCTACTTTAGCTTCACTAAAAGCTAATTATTTAATAACACCACAAGATTTCACATAATCTGTTTAGATATGACCCATTATTGTACTACTAAAGCAATTCATCTTATGTAAAGAAGTCTAAGACACACAATGTCTCACTAAATGAGTCACTGCTAAACATTTCCACAACAAAACAACTAATATCAGACCTCAAAATAGCATGGAAATAGTGATGTGAAACACTACCGGTATGAATACTAACAAGAGCACCGTCACTGATATATGTATAACAACGAAAAGGTTGTGACAATAGTTCGTTTTCTTCGAAAAATGACTTGTTAAAATCATTAAAATACCAAAACTAAACTATAGGGTAAGCCAAAACAACACAGGTAAAACAGGCGAAAGGTGATGAATACGTGAACCATTTCCTGGGAAATACTTCTGCCACCAGTCTGGGTAAAACAGGATAAGATACTGACGAGGGAATTCATCAGCAAGACCCAGCAGCAGAGACCTGGGTTAAGCCAAGCTATTTATAGTCCTCAAACTCAGCCACTTTCCGGCAGATGAGGTTACACCACTCTAGCGCCTGCCCAACCATCTTCACTGAAACACACTCGCCCGATACCCACAACCGGAGATGAGAATAAAAGAAATCTCTCGCCCCGTCTTTTGCTGACGGGTTTTGCTATACGCTTAGATTATAACGGCAATAACTATTAGGGTTCCAACACACCTGACAACTATTTTACACCGCATACCGTAAGGTATATTAAATTTGGCCCAGATCAAGACCATCAGACCAAATCCACGTTTCTTGATAAGGATCGTCATGACTTGTCAGTCCAGTTCCACCCATCTCTCTCTCACACACACATTCAGGTCAAGATCCTCGAAACTGTTTAAACACGATGATGGGCTCAACTAGGGGGTCCTCTGGTCGTGAGTAGAACCACCCACTCGACTACCCACAGCTGGAGCGACTCTTGTCCCTCAACACAGTCATAAGGAACGGTCGCACGTCTACAATACCTCTGCCGCCTTGATAGCTACGTGCAGGACGGACACCCTCATAGGCCTACTGGATAAATAATTACGACGGGGTCACACATTAGGTTATACCACAGAATAGGCCTCGTCTCACCTCTCAGTCACCAAGGTGGAAAGCCTTTGTCTTGCCGGAGCTATAGAGGAAGTGGCCTGTACTGTTTATCAGAGGCTAGAGGAGGTAAGGGATCAAAGTCGTTTCTCACGGAACTAAAGAGGGGGAGGTGGGAGTGGCATGTAGTCGTCTCGTTCAAGAGATTGCAGTTGGGGAAGGATCGTGGTGTGTATTTGGTTCTTACTGGGGCTAGTAAATGAAGGGAAGGGCTGTTATGTTGAAATAATTCATCAGGACAATGAAGAAAAAATAGGTTGTGGCGTGTAGTGCACTCATAAGCCTCAGGAGTATAGAAGGGAAGGTGACGCCTCACACTGGCTCATGTTCTCTTAAAAGTTACTGGATAAATGAAGAGATTGTAGTTTACAGTTATCAGAGGGTATATAGAAGGTGGTGGTAGTGACGTAAGTCATCACACAAGGCCGACAGACAGCAAAAGGCCGTGTCTCAGTCAGTAGAGCAGGAGAGTCGTGGTCACTGGTCGTCTCCAGCAGTAACAATGATAGGATGGTCATAACCAATAATCGTACACGGACATAGGCGTGAGGAGGGCCATAGCCTGTGATAAGTCCGCAGAGGGAAGTTACGAGACCCTCGTAACCAAGAGTCGTCTCCCTCAGTAATTATGGAAAGGTAAACTGTAATAACACTCACCGGCCACATCCACTACCCGAGGATCGTATAATCCACAATCCTGAGGTAAGCCGGTCGTACAGGCCAGAGTTCCTGGTTGAACACATCCACCATAAAGCTGGATTGCCTTCGCCTTGAAATACGATTTGGCTCACTTAAATCCATTTCCCCAAGTCCTGGGAATTGCACTGTGCACATTACCGAGATAGACAAACTTATTGATACCGTCATGGACAATAGAATACCAGACTATCATAAAATAGGTTATCGCACTGCAGTTTTTGTTCGTCAAGGGCATTATGTTCCATGTGTTCCATGGTTAATGCTTGTACAAATACCAAATATAAAGTCATCAGTATCTCCATAAAAAAAAATCAATATATTCAAGGTATCAGGAACACGCCTACATATCAAACAGCAGCTGTGTTTGTCATCAGCTTTGTATATACAGGTACAAGTTTATCAATCAACTTTTTCTCACGATGTGATAATAATCGAGGCTTCTGAAACAGGCATAACAACGTAATAACATTTACTAGGACGTGAATGGGGCGGAGGGTGAGTAAAAGGGGCGTGGTACCCAGCCAGTGGCCTGGAGGACGGGCAGTAACCTACTCCCATCACCACACAACACAACAGCCGCCACAGTAAATGTATAAAATCCAGTTAACCGCAAGACAGGGAAACGTTACACAGAGCCACTTCACCTTCAACAATGGGGACGGCCACGATGCAACGTGACCCTTCCACGGATTGCTCTTCAAATTTCCATTGCGACTTCTACAAGGCTTTTAAGACAGTAAAAGAGGCTTTAAATCCAAGCCTCTTTATTGTACTTAATAAGTGTGTATGAATACATTATCTACTTGGAGTGGAATACAATTATGGGTTGACTAAGTGTACATGAAAGAATTTTAGAATATAATTGTAATAACTATGGTTTCGGACATTTAAATCTCGAGTGAGAAAGATCGTCATCTCCAGGTGTAGTGTTGTGTTCTCATGCCAAGTGGGCGGATGTGTGGTGAGGTTGTGTAGTAACGATTTCTGCCGAGGTATCAGCCAACGGCCGCGATGAGTCAGTGTACGACAGGTAAAGGCGGGAGGGAGGGGGAGAAAGAGGATGGGGGAAGGGGGACAGGTAAGTCTGCTAGGTGTATAGGCGTATCCCCGTCACGTAATCACCCTCCCTGGCTGCCTTCAACTATAGACCGTGTTAACAAGTACAATACTGTCATACATCTCCCTATGACTGTATTTTAGTTAATTATCAAAAGCTCCAGCACTAGATTAACTACTGGGAAATAATAGTTAATGGGAACCTGTACCGCCATGCTCCAGTGTGGTGGTAAACATGCGACCTTCGCCTCCCACCACGTTGCTGCCATGGATGTGAATGAGCAGCAGCAAGCCAACCTGTGCAGTAGACGATATCGACATCCCTCAAAACAACGCTGAAAACAAACACAGATGATGACAACACCACGACGTCGCAAATTCAAAAAATCCTTCAAGTCGTGAGTGTTCCAGCCCGGACCTTCACTTCCAACGGACGCCGTGCAGAGAGCTTCCAGCAAGACAACTCTCACAAAAAACTCACTAAAATCGACACTTGAAACGCATATTCACCTTGAACTGTATAGATCCTTAATGTTTACTCCTGGTTTCCTCTTGATCTACGAAGCACTCGCACTGTTACATGTCGAAAAAATTGCTTGACTAGAGAAATAATGAGGGATACGGACGGTATGCACCCCAACTACACTGGCAAAAGGGCTACTGAGCTCCACCCATTTGTCCGGCAGGTCGATGCTGGCGCCGGGCGGGGTTAGTGAACTTATCGTACCGTAGAGAACATGAATTGTTTTTTACTATTTATATTTTACATCATTTGTAATTTAATTAACAAAAACGTGAACCTCTTATTATTTCTAGAATACTACGAATCCGCTTATTAATATCCTCCTTTGCGTACGGACTAGTAAATTTAAACGTCAAAACAACGCTGCATAAAACCGCTGCCAGCCCAACGAATATATTTGCAATTACATCATTTTCTAGCGTTTGAAGATAAAACTAATTTGTAGATCCCAATCTGACTATACTAATAATTTTAAAACGCTAAATCACCTTACTAATCCTTCCATTATCCTGGAAATACACAAAACATTGTATATATCCTGCAGCTGGCACGACTGCGCGAACACCACATGCGAGCAGGCAGACACTCAGACGTCAGGGAAAGAAAGGTACTACATATTGTATTTTATTTACAAGTTTTTCTCTCGAGCACTAATAAAGTAATCCTGCCCCCAAGAGAGAACCGATTTATTACAATGAAACACAAAAGTATTACTGATAACCTACACTGTACTATTCAAAACCTGTTAGTTCGTCCGTCCAGTGTAAATATACAGTATACGCATTGTGAAATCATATGATACAATACATTAAGATATATTAATAGATACCCATATATACAACAATTAGCAGATAGGCCAAGAAAATCTGTCTGGCAGACCCGTAGGTAAGTAGATACAGTGAGGTGGTAGGGTGAAGGGGTGGGTGGCGTTCACAAAGGCCGGACCAGCCCCACTGGCCACCCCGCCAAGGTTATGTCTGTTACTACCCTCACCCGGAGTTATTCCACGCTACCAATAACATCATGTTTTACTCTTAAACACCAAGAAAATGCTCGATTGATTAAACTTAAGAAAACTATCAAATACCATAAAGATAAAATATAATTTTAACCTACTGTACAGTATATCCGGACTTTGCACCGAAGGAAATTTTAAACCTACTTATTTACGAAGCTTAATACGAAATCTGAGTAATGTTCTAACAATAACATTCAGAGAATTACATTTCGTGCTTTCTTGCTTGCTTGCTTGTTTCCTTCCTAAGCCGCGCGCATTCTTTACTGGGGCTCGTCCACTAACCGCTGCGTCAAGATGGCTTCAAGATTTCCCCCATATTTGGCAGTTAAGTACAGGGCACAATAAGAGCATCATGTACAGCAAGCCATAACTAGGTCGGCTTGTAGCTAGCAACCTCCACTGTTTTCCAGATATGACGCATCCAGTTAATCCAGAGGTCACCAACTATTTATACTAATGGTTATCCGATTATATTCCCCTTTTATCCTTCCGTTATCCTAAGCCAGGGTTCACTGGGTCCGTACGATAGCTATTTCTTGTCATTCATGAAAGAATGAACGTAATTGATTGGTTTGGGTAAAAACAAAGCCAGCATCAGGATTATAATGATGGATCACCTGAAATCTCCATCCCAGCTTATTTCACCTGAAGATTAAACCAACCTAACACCAACACTATTAGATTAGATTAAGTTAGGTTAGGTTAGCATTAGGGTAGTTAATCTTTACGTGAAATAATCTGAGGTGGAGATTCTTCAGATAATTTATTCGGAGATAAAAATATTAAGAAAAAAAATTGCTCCATTAGTCTGTCTACTAACTGATGCTAAGTGAATATATTTTATTATGGTAAAGTCTCGGTATAATTATAATGTTTGGAATTATATACAGTATTTACACTTCAGCTGAACTCATTAGATGGGTGCCTATAATTTTAATGCCTTGGTACACTGCTCCTCATCATGCCCCATTGTGTGACCTCCAAGTGCCCGAGAAAAAAAAATGCCCAGTTGTATCTCCGTTTGTCAGTGTTATTGTCATTGTTTACTAGTCCATGCGATATCTCGAGCACTTTTTTGAACTACGAACCAGAAATTTGGACACAATAACGACGGGGCATTTACTTTTTTTTCATACTGCTTGTATTTTTGTTCAAATCATGGTCGGAGGGGTGCGGGGGTGAGCATTGAACCTACTACTACTACTACTGCTGCTAATACTACTATTACTTAATTTTGTTATGTTTGCATTTCAGGTTGTAGCTGGTTCAAGTCAACTTAGACCAATACACAACTTTGCGACGGCTGTAATAACCCAGGTGTTGACGGATCATTATCATCATCAATTATCACCCATCTTCAATCATCATCCCTCATCATTATCATCAATCCTCGTCATCATCAACCCTATCATCATTAGATTGTCAATTAGTTGTTATAATTTATAAATCTTCGGTTGAATGTGTGTGTATGTAGAGTGAGTGTTGACTGTGTGGAGTTAGTGAGGGGAGGAGAGATAGTGACCACCATCACGAACACACAACACAGCAATATAACACAAAAAAGGAACAGCACAGCACAACTCGGTACCCCCACGCTGTACTATTCGTCACGAAGGGATTACACAGACCCGCCATGGATAATCTACGCTCCAGGGGATTTACCAACCTTGGCGACCTTCCATAATATACACCTATACACTGTTTCTACACCCTGTCTTTACACATACACACCCTCTCCTATGCTGCTTCCTAAGCCTACACCATCCTCCTCCTACACCCCAGACCCTCCTCCTACACACCCACTTTTTTGTGGGTGACTGCTTTTATAATTAATTGCTTTTATAGTCACCTAATTACTTGAAGACACGATAAGTGGCAATTATTGAATACTAAATGACTCGTGATGAAATACAGTGCGTTCCCATCTGTAAGACCAGAGTAGGACGGCTGTCTCTAAGGGGCGAGAGCCGGCGAGTTGTGGCAACACTTCGGTCATCAATTTAGAGGTCAGTCAATTGACCTCTGCCTTGCTCTGAGTAAGGAAAACACCGACTCTCCCTCTACACCTCGACACGGTCACACCCTCCTCTACACTCCTAAACCCTCTCTCTACACACCCACACTCTCCCTCTACACCCATACACGGCCACACACTCTCCTCTGCACTCGTAAACCCTGCTACTTCCTACACCTGCACCACCCTCCTAACTTCCACCCGTGATCGTTCTTGCTCCGCAATATCTTGACCCCTTCGTTTTTTTTAACCTCTCCAAACTTCCTGACTGTTGCCTAAACATGTCAAGTCTTCGAAGCACCAAGTTAAAAGTTTTATCGATTTTTATTCCTAAGAGAGTTTACATTCTTTTATCACCATCACTTTTCCTCACAGCCACAAGACACTGTTAGCGCCTGTGTTTGTGATCATCTCAAGAGTCGCAGTCGCTGTATAGTTAAAACTCATTAGTTTCTCATCAGGAAGTTCTTTTTCTATCACCTGAAGATTAGTCCCCTTCAAACTTTTTCCACGTGAAAATTATACATTCTAACTCGTCGCCGCCAGCATCTAACTCCTGGCATACACAATTAGCGGATCACCAAAGAATCTCAACCCCAGCTTATTTCACCTAAAGGTTAACCACCCTAACGCTAACCTCATCTTCCTTTACCTCACCTAATCTTACTCAAACTAACCTAACCTAGTCTCACCTCATTCCCCCTAAATAGCGTTAGGGAGATAAAGTCGTTGATTAGTCGTGAGGTGAAACAAACGGGAGGAGATTCTTTAGGTGATCTCTTCTGGTATCTTATGGACACCTGAAGAAGGGACACTCTCATTCGAAGACAGCGGCTCCCCATTAGGGGTAAATTACCCCTTGACATTCTCCGTGGGTAACGACAGCCCAAGAGATATAGCCATATTTTTCTTGCTTCTTGATTCCACACACAACCCACTAGTCATTCGTGTGTCAGACACGTCCTCAACACGGCAGAGTTAGTATCTCTTGCCTCAGTCTCCCACGGCGGAACCGCGTCTGCTTCACGTACTGAACACACCAAAAATAGTGTAAATAAACAGTTGATAAACCTATGTCAGGGTAATGGGTACAGGTATTGTTATCGGACTTGTTTTGGGTTAATGGCTAAAATTAATTGGTAAACATTGTACTAGGACAATTACTGTATATCACCATCTTGAGTCTTGTATGGTACAGGTATTGTGATGAGAGGAAGGAGATAGGAGAGAAAAGGAAAGGAAGGGGATAGGAGAGAAGGGATGGAGGTATATCTATTTCTTCCTATCCTCTTCTCTTGTCCCGTCTAACACTAATATAAAGTGTCACAATGTTATATAATCTATAGCAGTCACCATGTATAATCTCATAAGTCAGTGTTGCATAATCTCCTCTATAGTAACAAAGTCCAATAACCTCCTATATACAGTGTCCATATAATCCCATATAACAGTCATATAACCTACTATAACATTACGTCCCTCTATAATCATCCCCTAGTATACAGTATAGCTTTGTGAACATATAATTCCAGTTAAATCCACAAGAAAGAAATTTTTCCGCTAATTAAGAGGATTTCCGCAAAAAAAAAAAACTTCCTGGTGGTATTTTCGTATTTTTTCTTAATTCGTCAACATTTGGGCAGAAAAATTACCCAGGATATCAGACCACCAGCAGCCCTCTGACGTGACCTGTATTCCCGCTGCTGCTGGCCTGGGTGATAATGCTCGGCACACAAAGAAATGGTTTAATGTTTCTTAGTTATGATTTTTACGAGTTATAATAAAGCTTTTTTTTATATAAATAGTTGGGATGATATTGTTATTGGAATGTGTGTGTGTGTTGTGTGTGTGTGTGTTTATAGTCCAGTTTTTAAGTACAAATATCACAAATGTTTTAAAATCCACCCCACCAACTGTTATCCAAAAATTCATATGAAAGATATTTGAATTTAAACTGCAATAATCTGGTCGACTCACAAACCAAAAAAAAAAAACGTCTAGTTAAAACTGGAATGGTTGAATACATACATATTCTCGCGTAAAAAAAAATCTCTAATATTTTTACACGCAAAATTGAATCATTTCAGAATATCGCCAATACCAAAACATATCA